TTTCCAGGGAGGATGGCGAGCTGGAGGAGCCATCATTCCCAAATAAATAATTCCCCAATAAATAATTCCCAAATAAATAATTCCCAAATAATCCCCAATTCCCCATTTTCCAGGGAGGATGGCGAGCTGGAGGAGGGCGAGCTGGAGGAGGAGCCATCATTCCCAAATAAATAATTCCCCAATAATTCCCCAATAATTCCCCAATAATTCCCCAATTCCCTGTGTTTTCCAGGGAGGATGGCGAGCTGGAGGAGGGCGAGCTGGAGGAGCCATCATTCCCAAATTCCCCAATAATCCCCAATTCCCTGTGTTCTCCAGGGAGGATGGCGAGCTGGAGGAGGGCGAGCTGGAGGAGCCATCATTCCCAAATTCCCAAATAATTCCCAAATAAATAATTCCCCAATAATTCCCCAATTCCCTGTGTTTCCAGGGAGGATGGCGAGCTGGAGGAGCCATAATTCCCAAATAAATAATTCCCAAATAAATAATTCCCAAATTCCCCAATTCCCCATTTTCCAGGGAGGATGGCGAGCTGGAGGAGGGCGAGCTGGAGGAGGAGCCATCATTCCCAGATAAATAATTCCCCAATAATTCCCCAATAATTCCCAATTCCCCGTTCTCCAGGGAGGATGAGGAGCTGGAGGAGCCATCATTCCCAAATAAATAATTCCCAAATAAATAATTCCCAAATAATCCCCAATTCCCCGTTTTCCAGGGAGGATGGTGAGCTGGAGGAGGGCGAGCTGGAGGAGGAGCCATCATTCCCAAATAAATAATTCCCAAATAATTCCCCAATAATCCCCAATTCCCTGTGTTCTCCAGGGAGGATGGCGAGCTGGAGGAGGGCGAGCTGGAGGAGCCATCATTCCCAAATAATTCCCAAATAAATAATTCCCAAATTCCCCAATTCCCTGTTTCTCCAGGGAGGATGGCGAGCTGGAGGAGGGCGAGCTGGAGGAGCCATCATTCCCAAATAAATAATTCCCCAATAATTCCCAATTCCCTGTGTTCTCCAGGGAGGATGAGGAGCTGGAGGATGGCGAGCTGGATGAGCCATCATTCCCAAATTCCCCAATAATTCCCCAATTCCCCGTTTTTCTCCAGGGAGGATGGCGAGCTGGAGGAGGGCGAGCTGGAGGAAGACGACGGCGCCGAGGAGGCTCCGGAGCGCTCCCGTTCCCGCTCCCGTTCCCAATCCCAATCCCGCTCCCAGTCCCGCTCCCAGTCCCGCTCCCAATCCCGGCGGGAGCGGCGCCGCAGCGGCTCCGAGGACGAGAAGGGGCAGCGGCGCCTGAAGCGCAAACGCCGCAAGGAGCGCGACAAGGACAAGCGCAGGGCCAAGAAAAAGAGGAAATCCAAGCACAAGGTGGGAAAATCCCAGCCTTTCCAGGGCTTTCATGGGATTGGGTTTTCCAGGGGTTTGCCGGGAATTTTTAGGGATTTTTTCCCATTTTTTTCGGATTTTTTTCCCATTTTTTTCCCATTTTTTCCTATTTTTTCCGGGTTTTTTCTGATTTTTTCCGGTTTTTTTCCGATTTTTTTCCGATTTTTTTCTGATTTTTTTCCGGTTTTTTTCCCATTTTTTTCCCATTTTTTCTGATTTTTTTCCAATTTTTTCCCGATTTTTTCCAATTTTTTTTTCTTTTTTCCCATTTTTTCCCATTTTTTTCCATTTTTTCCGATTTTTTTCCGATTTTTTTCTGATTTTTTTCCGATTTTTTTCCGTTTTTTTTCCGTTTTTTTTCCCATTTTTTCCGTTTTTTTTCCCATTTTTTCTGATTTTTTTCTGATTTTTTTCCAGGTTTTTTTTAGGTTTTTTTCCGGTTTTTTTTCCGGTTTTTTTCCCATTTTTTCCGATTTTTTTCCAATTTTTTTTTCGATTTTTTTCCAATTTTTTCCGGGTTTTTTCCCATTTTTTTCCCATTTTTTCCAATTTTTTTCCAATTTTTTCTGGGTTTTTTCCAGTTTTTTTCCGATTTTTTTCCGATTTTTTTCCCATTTTTTCCAATTTTTTTCCGATTTTTTCCGATTTTTTCCGGTTTTTTTCCAGTTTTTTTCCAATTTTTTTCCCATTTTTTTCCCATTTTTTTCCCATTTTTTTCCCATTTTTTCCGGTTTTTTTCCCATTTTTTTCCCATTTTTTTCCCATTTTTTTCCCATTTTTTCCATTTTTTTTCCAGTTTTTTTCCCATTTTTTCCCCATTTTTTTCCCATTTTTTTCCCATTTTTTTCTGATTTTTTCCGGGTTTTTTCCCGTTTTTTTCTCATTTTTTTCCCATTTTTTTCTGATTTTTTCCAGGTTTTTTCCCGTTTTTTTCCCATTTTTTTCCCATTTTTTTCGATTCTTTTCCCGTTTTTTTCCCATTTTTTTCCCATTTTTTTCTGAATTTTTCTGATTTTTTCTGATTTTTTCTGGGTTTTTTTTGATTTTTTTCCCATTTTTTCCAATTTTTTTCCGATTTTTTTCCAATTTTTTTCTGATTTTATTCTGATTTTTTTCCCATGTTTTTCCAATTTTTTTCTGAATATTTCTGATATTTTCCGATTTTTTTCTGATTTTTTTCTGAATTTTTCTGATTTTTTCTCGATTTTTTTCTGATTTTTTTCTGATTTTTTCCCCATTTTTTTCCCCTTTTTTTCCAATTTTTTCTGATTTTTTCCCCATTTTTTTCCCCTTTTTTTCCAATTTTTTCTGATTTTTTTCCCCATTTTTTTCAGATTTTTTCCAATTTTTTTCTGATTTTTTTTTTATTTTTTTTGGATTTTTTCCGATTTTTTTCTGATTTTTTTCCCATTTTTTTCCTGATTTTTCCAGTTTTTTTCCTGATTTGTTCCCATTTTTCAACTTTTTTCCAGGTTTTTGGGGTCGGGAGTGACTTTTCCCAAGGATTTCCCAGGAAAATTGGGAATTCCAGGGGTCGGGAGTGACTTTTCCCAAGGATTTCCTGGGAAAATTGGGAATTCCAGGGGTCGGGAGTGACTTTTCCCAGGGTTTTTCCCAGGAAAATTTGGAATTCCAGGGCTCGGGAGTGACTTTTCCCAAGGATTTCCCGGGAAAATTTGGAATTCCAGGGCTCGGGAGTGACTTTTCCCAAGGATTTCCCAGGAAAATTTGGAATTCCAGGGCTCGGGAGTGACTTTTCCCAGGGTTTTTCCCAGGAAAATTGGGAATTCCAGGGGTCAGGAGTGACTTTTCCCAAGGATTTTCCAGGAAAATTGGGAATTCCAGGGGTCGGGAGTGACTTTTCCCAAGGATTTTCCGGGAAAATTGGGAATTCCTGGGCTCAGATGGGAATTCCAGGGGTCGGGAGTGACTTTTCCCAAGGATTTCCCAGGAAAATTGGGAATTCCAGGGGTCGGGAGTGACTTTTCCCAAGGATTTCCCGGGAAAATTGGGAATTCCAGGGCTCGGGAGTGACTTTTCCCAGGGTTTTTCCAGGAAAATTGGGAATTCCAGGGGTCGGGAGTGACTTTTCCCAGGGTTTTTCCCAGGAAAATTGGGAATTCCAGGGGTTGGGAGTGACTTTTCCCAGGGTTTTTCCCAGGAAAAGCGGGAATTCCCAGGAAAAGCGGGAATTCCGGAGGCCGGGAAGGGCTCGGGGCTGATTTTTCCCGGGATTTTCCAGCGGCACGCTTCGTCCAGCGAGGAATTCTCGGATTTCAGCGACGACTCCGAGTTCAGCCCCGGGGAGAAGGGACACCGGAAATACCGGGAATACAGCCCGGCCTATCCCGTGAGTTAAACTGGGAATACTGGGAATAAAAACTGGGAATTACTGGGAATAAATACCGGGAATACAGCCCGGCCTATCCCGTGAGTTAAACTGGGAATACTGGGAATAAAAACTGGGAATACCGGGAATACAGCCCGGCCTATCCCGTGAGTTCCACTGGGAATTACTGGGAATAAATACCGGGGATACTGGGAATAAATACCGGGAATACAGCCCGGCCTATCCTGTGAGTTCAACTGGGAATACTGGGAATGGAAACTGGGAATTACTGGGAATAAATACCGGAAATACCGGGAATACAGCCCGGCTTATCCCGTGAGTTAAACTGGGAATACTGGGAATAAAAACTGGGAATTACTGGGAATAAATACCGGGAATACAGCCCGGCCTATCCCGTGAGTTCAACTGGGAATGGAAATACCGGGAATACCGGGAATAAATACCGGGAATACCGGGAATACAGCCCGGCTTATCCCGTGAGTTAAACTGGGAATAAAAACTGGGAATAAATACCGGGAATACCGGGAATACAGCCCGGCTTATCCCGTGAGTTAAACTGGGAATACTGGGAATGGAAACTGGGAATAACTGGGAATAACTGGGAATAAATACTGGGAATACAGCCCGGCACTGGGAATACTGGGAATGGAAACTGGGAATAACTGGGAATAACTGGGAATAAATACTGGGAATACAGCCCGGCTTATCCTGTGAGTTCAACTGGGAATTACTGGGAATAAATACCGGGAATACAGCCCGGCTTATCCTGTGAGTTCAACTGGGAATAACTGGGAATAAATACCGGGAATACAGCCCGGCTTATCCTGTGAGTTCAACTGGGAATAAAAACCGGGAATAAAAACTGGGAATTACTGGGAATGGAAACTGGGAATAACTGGGAATAACTGGGAATAAATACCGGGAATACCGGGAATACAGCCCGGCCTATCCTGTGAGTTCAACTGGGAATACTGGGAATGGAAACTGGGAATTACTGGGAATAAATACCGGGAATACAGCCCGGCCTATCCCGTGAGTTAAACGGGGAATAAACACTGGGAATTACTGGGAATGGAAACTGGGAATACTGGGAATACTGGGAATAAATACCGGAAATACCGGGAATAAATACCGGGAATTACTGGGAATAAATACCGGGAATACAGCCCGGTTTATCCCGTGAGTTCAACTGGGAATACTGGGAATAAAAACTGGGAATAAATACTGGGAATACCGGGAATACAGCCCGGCTTATCCCGTGAGTTCCACTGGGAATACTGGGAATGGAAACTGGGAATAACTGGGAATAAATACTGGGAATACAGCCCGGCCTATCCCGTGAGTTCAACTGGGAATTACTGGGAATAAATACCGGGAATTACTGGGAATAAATACCGGGAATTACTGGGAATAAATACCGGGAATTACTGGGAATAAATACCGGGAATACAGCCCGGCTTATCCCGTGAGTTAAACGGGGAATAAAAACTGGGAATAAAAACTGGGAATACTGGGAATACTGGGAATAAAAACTGGGAATCACTGGGATTTCCTGGGAATAACTGGGATTTCCTGGGAATAACCGGGATTTCCTGGGAATAACTGGGATTTCCTGGGAATAACTGGGATTTCCCGGGAATCACCGGGATTTCCTGGGAATCACCGGGATTTCCCGGGAATCACCGGAATTTCCCGGGAATCTCTGGGATTTCCTGGGAATCACCGGGATTTCCCGGGAATCACCGGGTTTTCCTTGGAATCACCGGGATTTCCCGGGAATCACCGGGATTTCCTGGGAATAACTGGGATTTCCCGGGAATAACTGGGATTTCCTGGGAATCACTGGGATTTCCCGGGAATAACCGGGATTTCCTGGGAATCACTGGGATTTCCTGGGAATCACCGGGATTTCCTGGGAATCTCCGGGTTTTCCCGGGAATCTCCGGGATTTCCCGGGAATCTCCGGGATTTCCCAGGAATCTCTGGAATTTCCCGGGAATCTCCGGGTTTTCCCGGGAATCACTGGGATTTCCTGGGAATAACTGGGATTTCCTGGGAATCACCGGGATTTCCCGGGAATCACCGGGATTTCCCGGGAATCTCTGGGATTTCCTGGGAATCACTGGGATTTCCCGGGAATCTCTGGGTTTTCCTGGGAATCTCCGGGATTTCCCGGGAATCTCTGGAATTTCCCGGGAATCTCCGGGATTTCCCGGGAATCTCCGGGTTTTCCCGGGAATCTCCGGGTTTTCCCGGGAATGCCGGGCCGTGCCGGGAGCCATTCCCGCTGTTTTTGCCGTTCCCAGCATTCCCAGGCTCCGCGGCCGAGCCGCTCCAGGCCCGATTCCCGCGGTTACGGCTTCGAGGACCCCGAGGCCTTCGGCCCCAACGAGGAGGAGGAGGAGGCCAAGGACGGCTACGGAGACTTCGGAGCGGAGCTGAGCCCCTTCCGGCGCGGCAGGGAGCACGGCCAGAGGGCCAGGGGTAGGGAAAAACCGGGATAAAACGGGAAAAACCGGGATAAAACGGGGAAAAAATGGGATAAAACGGGAATGGAGCACGGCCAGAGGGCCAGGGGTAGGGAAAAACCGGGAATGAAGGGGAAAAACCGGGATAAAACAGGGAAAAGGGAGCACGGGCAGAGGGCCAGGGGTAGGGAAAAAATGGGATAAAACAGGGAAAAAATGGGATAAAACAGGGAAAAAACGGGAGAAAACGGGGAAAATGGGATAAAAGGGGGGATAAATGGGCAGGGAGCACGGCCAGAGGGCCAGGGGTAGGGAAAAACTGGGAATGAAGGGGAAAAACCGGGATAAAACAGGAATGGAGCACGGCCAGAGGGCCAGGGGTAGGGAAAAACTGGGAATGAAGGGGAAAAACCGGGATAAAACAGGAATGGAGCACGGCCAGAGGGCCAGGGGTAGGGAAAAAGTGGGAGTGAAGGGGAAAAACTGGGATAAAACAGGGGAAACATGGGCAGGGAGCACGGCCAGAGGGCCAAGGGTAGGGAAAACCAGGAATGAGTGGGAAAAACGGGGAAAAAATGGGGAAAAAGGGGATAAACGGGGGAAAAATGGGGATAAAACAGGCAGGGAGCACGGCCAGAGGATCAGGGGTACAGGAAAACCGGGAATGAGCGTAAAAAATGGGGAAAAACAGGGAAAATTGGGGATAAAATGGGAATAAATGGAGGAAAACGGGGATAAAATGGGCAGGGAGCCAGCACAGAGAGCCAGGGGTACAGGAAAACCGGGAAAAACCGGGAATGAAGGGGAAAAACCGGGATAAAACAGGGAAAAAATGGGATAAAACGGGGGATAAACGGGCAGGGAGCACGGCCAGAGGGGCAGGGGTAGGGAAAAAATGGGATAAAACAGGGAAAAACCGGGAGAAAACGGGGAAAAAATGGGATAAAACGGGCAGGGAGCACGGCCAGAGGGCCAGGGGTAGGGAAAAACTGGGAATGAAGGGAAAAAACCGGGATAAAACGGGCAGGGAGCACGGGCAGAGGGCCAGGGGTAGGGAGAAACCGGGAATGAAGGAGAAAAACCGGGATAAAATGGGCAGGGAGCACGGGCAGAGGGCCAGGGGTAGGGAAAAACCGGGATAAAATGGGAATGGAGCACGGCCAGAGGGCCAGGGGTAGGGAAAAACCAGGATAAAACGGGGAAAAAATGGGATAAAACGGGAATGGAGCACGGCCGGAGGGCCAGGGGTACGGAAAAACTGGGAATGAAGGGGAAAAACCGGGATAAAACGGGCAGGGAGCACGGCCAGAGGGCCAGGGGTAGGGAAAAACTGGGAATGAAGGGAAAAAACCGGGATAAAACGGGCAGGGAGCACGGGCAGAGGGCCAGGGGTAGGGAAAAAATGGGATAAAACAGGGAAAAAATGGGATAAAACAGGGAAAAAATGGGATAAAACGGGGGATAAATGGGATAAAAGGGGGGATAAATGGGCAGGGAGCACGGCCAGAGGGCCAGGGGTACAGAAAAACCGGGATAAAACAGGGAAAAAATGGGATAAAACAGGGAAAAAACGGGATAAAACGGGGGATAAATGGGCAGGGAGCACGGCCAGAGGGCCAGGGGTAGGGAAAAACTGGGAATGAAGGGGAAAAACCGGGATAAAACAGGAATGGAGCACGGCCAGAGGGCCAGGGGTAGGGAAAAAGTGGGAGTGAAGGGGAAAAACTGGGATAAAACAGGGGAAACATGGGCAGGGAGCACGGCCAGAGGGCCAAGGGTAGGGAAAACCAGGAATGAGTGGGAAAAACGGGGAAAAAATGGGGAAAAAGGGGATAAACGGGGGAAAAATGGGGATAAAACAGGCAGGGAGCACGGCCAGAGGAAAAAGGGGATAAACGGGGGAAAAATGGGGATAAAACAGGCAGGGAGCACGGCCAGAGGATCAGGGGTACAGGAAAACCGGGAATGAGCGTAAAAAATGGGGAAAAACAGGGAAAATTGGGGATAAAATGGGAATAAATGGAGGAAAACGGGGATAAAATGGGCAGGGAGCCAGCACAGAGAGCCAGGGGTACAGGAAAACCGGGAAAAACCGGGAATGGACTGGGGAAAAAATGGAATAAACAGGGAAAAAATGAGGATAAAACAGGCAGGGAGCCCCTATTCCCATTTCCCGCCGCTCATTCCCGGTTTTTTTTCCGCAGGCCGGGGCCGGGCCCG